GGGTAGACGTTAACGGTGGATAATCTTCGAAGAAAAGACTTTTGTGTTATCGAGTGGTGTTATATGTGTAAGAGAGATGGAGAACGAAATGACCATGATTCCATCCATTGTGATGGTGTTCGGTAGCTGTAGAACGGTCGAGATAAGGACGATAGGCTTGTGTGGAGTCTTATTGCAGGATGCATTGTATGGGAGGGGGGGTGTGTGTGTGTGTGTGGAGAGAGAGAGAGGAACAGTCGCTGTTTTGAAGACCAAACAAGAACAATAGAACAAATAAGAGAATTGTTTTATATGACTTTGTATACTTGGTTTAATGTTATGGCCACTAATCGTATAGAATGGTTGCCTAACTTCATATCGTTTCTTTCTTGTTTATTTTGATAACACACCTCCCATGTATTATCCTATTGATTAATAAAATTACATGACTACTTATCAAAAAATGATGCCATCGTGCGAATTATATATCCTGTAATATAATATATAACGATAGTTTCATTTATTAGGCATTCCTGATATGATTACAGTGGTGCCAGGTGGAATTTAAGTTTTGAATACAACTGCCATAGGCGAAGGCAATAGCTTTCCGATTATACAACAAAGTTCATCAGTAGTGTTTGAATGACTAATCAGATATAGAGCAGCTTTGCCTATGTGACACAAGGCATGAGTGTTAACCAATGTTTCAAAAATTGACTCGGAAAAGGATAAGGATCAAGGGTTAAAGGGTCGAACCGAGGCTAAACCCCATGCCAAAATTAAGTAAATGAATACACACAAACAATAAAACATTATAACAAAAATATTTTTTTTTAAATTTTAGTGCTACTAATTCAAAATAAATATAAATCCATATTTGTCAATTAGATTTATTCATCTAGTTTATTTTAAAACTTCATAAACCAATCATTAATATGTCCAAAATAATTTACTTTGTCAATTGAAATTATTTGTACTTTGGAATCCATGATTTAGATCCATGCTATTATAGGATGAAGTACATAATTAAGCCCTTGTTTGATCCCCATTTTTTAGGTAAAAAGAATAATAGAATAGTGATTTTTTAGAGAATATGTGGTTAAAAAGTAAGGAAAATTTTTGAAATACGTGTATAATTATTTTATGGAAGAATGTGTAGTTGAAATTGAGATTCAAAAAACTGCATTCTTGAAAAAATGGGACTCAAACAAGGGCTTAAGTAATAATTTAGTATTTCAATTGGCAACGCAGTGTAGCTTTTATCCATTAGCGGGCACTGTAACTTTAATACTTATCCCACATCGGATGATGAAAAGAAATATGGATGAGTTGTTTTTAAAAGCTACCATCCTTCAGCTGAAATCATAGATGGGCTTTCCATGGAAAGTGAGCCTATTATTAAAAATTTTGTTAAAAAGAAAAGGCAACCTAAATAATTGGTAAAAAAATCGTGACTGGGTTTCAGTTTACGATCGGTTCATTGGTTTAGTTATCGTTTTTCTTTTTTCGGTAAATTGATAATAACCAGGCTGGATTTGAGACCGATTCCCGATTTTTCCAGTTGAATCGGCCGGTCCGATCCTGTTCTCATAAAATTGATGTCAACGACCTATAAGGCATAAGTCTCAAAATAAACCAATGCAATAACTCAAAATTATAAAGATGCAAAATTATGCTTATAATAAACCATAAACTATATAAATACAATCCAAACATTGCAACAAATTAAAAGTCTAATTTGTAAATCAAAATGGACCAATTTCGCTAAAGCATATAAAACAATGTACCAACTATTCATGAAGTTCTCTTACTTTAATTTCAAAAGAAAAGAAGCCCAATATTGAGTTGTAGGGTTGCGCAATTGTCCATGTCATACCTTGGGCTCCCTTGAAGGGCAAGGTTTAAAAGTAAACATATTTGAAATGGAATTGTCGAAAGGATGGAAAAGATGTTAGCAGGATGGAAGCGTATGTACCTTTGGATGGGAGGCCATTCTACCCTCATTAAATCCACTCTCTATAATCTCTCAACTTATTTCTTATCACCGTTTTTCATTCCTGTTATAGTGGCGAATAGGTTAAAGAGAATTCAAAAGGAGTTTCTTTGGGCAAGGTTAGGGGAAGAGAGGAAATTTCATCTGATTAATTGGGATGTGGTCTGTTCTTCTGTAAGGATGGGAGGCCTAGGATTAAGGAGCCTTGTTTTGTTTATCAAGGATTTATTGGGCAAGTAGTTGTGACGATTTGGAGTAGAGAGGGAGAGTTTTTGGAGAGAAATCATAGGAGCGAAGTATGGTGTGATGGAAGGGGGTTGGTGCTCAATCGAGGGTCATGGATCTTATGGGGTAAGTTTGTGGAAGCATATCCGACAAGGATGAAATGATTTTCGAGATAAATTGACTTATGTGGTGGGGATGGCAATAATATCAAATTTTGGGATGATTGCTGGTGTGGAGATCGTCCGCTAAAGGCACGGTTTCCTTCTTTGCACGGCAATTATTTTGAAACCATCCGCTATGGTGAATGATGTAATAGTCATACATAATGGAAGTTATAGTTGGATTATTGCTTTTGAGAAGGGATTAAAAGATTGGAAATTGGATGATTATGCACTGTTCTTGACTTCCTTGCACGAGGCACGGATTCAAGTAGGAGAGAGTGATCATAGCAGCGGGATGATATTTTTCAGTTCGCACTTATTTTAGATCCATATTTGGTCCGGCGGAGAGTTCATTCCCCTGAAAGATGGTGTGACAATATAAATTGCCTCCACAAGTGACTTTCTTATTATGGACGGTTGTGAGCGGGTAGACGTTAACGGTGGATAATCTTCGAAGAAAAGACTTTTGTGTTATCGAGTGGTGTTATATGTGTAAGAGAGATGGAGAACGAAAAAATTGAGATTCAAAAAACTGCATTCTTGAAAAAATGGGACTCAAACAAGGGCTTAAGTAATAATTTAGTATTTCAATTGGCAACGCAGTGTAGCTTTTATCCATTAGCGGGCACTGTAACTTTAATACTTATCCCACATCGGATGATGAAAAGAAATATGGATGAGTTGTTTTTAAAAGCTACCATCCTTCAGCTGAAATCATAGATGGGCTTTCCATGGAAAGTGAGCCTATTATTAAAAATTTTGTTAAAAAGAAAAGGCAACCTAAATAATTGGTAAAAAAATCGTGACTGGGTTTCAGTTTACGATCGGTTCATTGGTTTAGTTATCGTTTTTCTTTTTTCGGTAAATTGATAATAACCAGGCTGGATTTGAGACCGATTCCCGATTTTTCCAGTTGAATCGGCCGGTCCAATCCTGTTCTCATAAAATTGATGTCAACGACCTATAAGGCATAAGTCTCAAAATAAACCAATGCAATAACTCAAAATTATAAAGATGCAAAATTATGCTTATAATAAACCATAAACTATATAAATACAATCCAAACATTGCAACAAATTAAAAGTCTAATTTGTAAATCAAAAATCAAAATGGACCAATTTCGCTAAAGCATATAAAACAATGTACCAACTATTCATGAAGTTCTCTTACTTTAATTTCAAAAGAAAAGAAGCCCCTGTTTGGGTTTCATTTTTTCCAAAGAGTTACTTATCAAAGTCAAACATTAATTCTAACCATTCATTTCGTAAAACCCACAAGCACTATCATTCATTTCTTAAAGAGTGAAATTTTATTAAAAATAAATGAAACAAAGTCGAGATATACAGAAATTAATGGGGAAAAAAGAAACGCATAGGCAACAAGAAAAATACATTTTCCAATTCATTTTTTCCATTTTCTAGGGTTCATGATTTTCAAATCTTGAAATATGGGGAAAATGGTGTATATCTAGCTAAAGTAGTACTTAAGCCCACACTAGTGACTTGTCTTGTGGTTTCAATGATAAGTAATATAGAGAATTCTTTATGATGATAAATTTTGAATCCCTAAATTCTTACGAGATCTATAATTTGTGTGATTGCTTTTAAAATCTTTCGCAGGAATTTCATAGGGCTTCATAATCAGAGAATTAATCTAGAGCACAGTTCACATGATAGGCTGAAGACCCAAATTAGGATTAATACAATATCATCACATGTAATAAGAGTTTCTCCTTCATGAAAAAATTGATCAGAAGTCATCCCTTGATGGTTCATAACGATCCCTCCTCAGTGATTCTCATTTTAGTTTTATTATAATAGTATTTTTTATGAAAGATCAAGACCTTACTAGTAGATAAGTACAAAGAGCTGGAGGAAAGTCACATTATGCAATGGACATTATTATAGAGAATATATAAACTTTGAATTGTGAAAACAAATGATGTTATAAGATATGTCTAAACATTACTCCTCCATTTATGACGCTAACACATCTACGCATAAATCTAACAATTTCTAGTTCTTCCCGTAAGAATCTTATTAGCCAAAAAAAGGTGATCTAGTGGCTACATTGAGGTCTACTATAAGGTAGATTGGTTCAAGTCCCACGACATTCCAGCTAGACTGCTGTATCGCAGAGAAACAAGCTACAAGACTATTGTTGCGCCAGGATTGAATCTTCGAGTAAACAGATGTCCCTCTGTTAAGATAATAGCTTATGTTTAATTCTAAAACATATTTAAAAAATTTGTTACACGAACCTTAAGGAACATCGTTTAAAGGCATAACTTATGGGGAAGATGACTTATTCAGTTGGTGAAATTATCTCAGAGACATAACTGCGTTCGTCGATCAAGATCCAATACTTCAAAAGTTAAGCTCTCACAGATTCGTATCTCTCCTCAAATAATCATTACTCCAAATTTCAACGAACGAAAATAACCACTCTGAGCTGATTTCGTTTTGCACACGAGTGTTTAAGCATCAAAACAAAATTAACAAAATCCAAAAACGAAAAGTGGAAAAAGATCATTTCTTTATTTCACTTTGTCGAATTCCTCCCAAATAACCCCACCCCAATACGGAAAAAATACTCAAACTAACAAATAAAAATTAATCAAACAAGCAATAAATCCAATATACCTGGGATGCTGATGATTGCGATTGAGCGGGTTTCTCGAATAATTTACCTAACATATTACTGTATTGGTAAGTCGAAGCTGTGAGATTCTTTACTGGAATGAGAAATTGATTTTCTTCAAATTTTTGTTGCTATTTTGGCAGTGGGGTCAACGTGTATCCTTCTGCGAACAGGATTGCGGGCGAGTGCGAAGTGGGAGCCGAATCGGACCTGTTCAATATTAATTTGGGGTAGTCCACCGCCTACTCGGAAAAATTTCATATCAAATGACTCATTTTAAAACTAAAAATTAGAGTTAAAACTCCAAAACTAGGATATTAATTACATTATTCATAAAAATAATTAATTTAAATATATATTTTATTAATTAAATATATTAAGATCACAATTCGATATACAATTTGGTAACAAATTATCAAATTAATTAATCATAAATTATTTCTCGATCACAGACCAAAAATTTTATAGGTCAAAAATAAAAAAATTTCTCAAGTCACAATTTATTCATTTATCATAAAATCAATAATTTATAGGTCACAACATATTTATCGATTACAAATCATAAATTTTATAAGTCACAATTAGGGATGGCAAACGGAGCTCGTGGGCGGCTGGAGCTCGTAAAAACACGAGCGCGAGCCAAGCGAACGAGCCGCTCGCGACGAGCCCGTGAGCGGCTCGTTTATAAAGTGACTGAAACGGCCACTAACTTTTGTCAGCGACTGTTTCTGTCCCTGAAAATTTATTTATTATTATTATTTTTTTTAAATTTATGACTGTTAACGGTTACTACGGTCACTGAATTTTCTTAGTGACCGTTTCGGTACGTTAATTTTTATTTATTTATTTATTTCTCTCTTCTTCTTCCATAAATAGTAGCATTTAGCCACAAAATTTTCTACAATTCACTCTCAACTCTCTTGTGTTGTATTGATAGTTGTACAATTTTTATATACAATTTATACAATATCTAATTCTCATTTCTCACTATATTTATTGAAATTTCATCCAATTTTCATTTCTCACTACATTTATACAATAATTTTTTTACTAGTTATTACTTATTACAATTAAACAAATGGATTCGCGCACATTTGTCGAAAACTTGTTTGGTGTGGGATGAAATAAATCGCCTATGACACCCAAAGTCAATTTCGGAATCAATTTGAAGGTCTAAATGATGTGCCCCTACCTAAAGATATGCCAGATTTGGATCTTCATCATCATGTAAACGACAAACCAAATTATCCAATTAATTTGGATGATGTTAACGTTCCCGGAGCGGAACGCGATCAGGAAAAAGATGTTGAATTAAATATTCCTGATGCGAAGGGAAAGTGAAAGGGAAAAAAAACAAAATGTTGGAATCACTTTAAGTTGATTTCAACGAGAAAAATCTTCAATGGAGTCCCAGAATCCAAAGCAATATGTAAATAATGCCAATAAAGATTGGCATGGCAAAGAGGAATTGGTACCACCCATCTCAACCGTCATTACAAAGTATGTGCGGCCAAACACGGACTTATTCCAGACTATCGAACACAATTGCAATTTGACAATCTAGACGTCAGTGGTTCTGCTGCACCCCTATCCACATGGTTGTATTCGGAAGAGAGAGCTTGAACCGGAATGGTAAAGTTTGTTGCCGGTGCTAAGTTGCTTTTGGCATTAATTGACAACCAACACTACGTCTCGTATGTGAAAGAATATCTGCAGCCAAGATATGTTGGGGTAAGTCGAAACACTCTTCGTTCCAATACAATATAATATTTTACCGAAACAAAACAACAATTAATTATCAATTTGCAAAAATATGGAGGTGTCATATCTTTAATTTCGAATATATGGGAAATGATTAATAAAAGAGCATATATAGCTGTAATTGCACATTATATAGACTCATTTTGGTGCATGCGTAAAAAAAGTATTACTTTTAGAATTATTGAGTTTCCTCACAACGCTAATAATATATTTAATGTTATTATTAGTATTGTTAGAGAATATCATTGCGAAAGTAAAATTCGTTCATTTACTTTCGATAATGCTAGTGTTAATAAAGTAATTGCCGATAAATTGCATAGGGTACTGCAACCTGATTTTGATGGGTGTTTGTTTTATATTCGTTGTGTATGTCATATTTTGAATTTAATTGTCCAAGAGGTTTAAAACATATAAAGGATGAATTTCAAAATATTAGGAACGCACTAATATATATCACAATCTCCCTAAGTAGAAAACAAGTATTTGAGGATTATTGTGCCAAAATAGGAGTGCAAAATGCTAAAACATTTGTTAGCGACGTAGGTTATAGGTGGAACTCTACTTACTTGTTATTAAAGTCATATGAAAGTTTTGAACATTTAATAACTGACTATTATAACAATAGACATGTTAGAAGTGATGACGAAGGTATGTTGACCGAATGTGATTGGCAAATAGTTTTGAAAGTTAAAAGATTTTTGATATTTTTTTATGAAACTACTAAGGTTTTATCGGGCGTTTACTATCCCACCAGCTGTATAGTGCTTGAACGTCTTTATATAATTGCAAGAACATTTCATAAATACAAAAATGACCTTGATTCAGAAAATATTAGGAAGACTTGCCTATGTTATTTCCTTTAGCATGCACAATGGACCCCGATATAATTTATCGGGAACTAAATATATAATTAATCAAATTTCAAACGCCTTAACATTTGATACACCTATCACATATAGAAATTTAGAGCAAATATTATGTGAAATGTATAAATTATATGCGAACCGAATGGGTACCAATATTAGTCGGGTACCATCTGCACCTACTCCTTCCGCTGAAATTAAAGAAAATGCAGAAATATTTAATTTATTTCAAGGCATTAATTCATATAGATATGATTCATCTGCAATGTGTTCATCTACCACCTCTACCATGTCGTCTACATCTGCATCTCATTCTCATCAAACATCTATCGGTTCAAACCATAATGTATTGCCTGCTGAATTAATTGATTATTTTAACCAGAATACGCCAACAGATAAAATAATTAAAAAAAGTTCAGACGAAATAATTGAATTCTGGCGAAGGTATGAACGACGTTGGCCAGTTATATCTGCGATTGCAAAAGATATGCTAACACCTCCGGTTAGCACTGTTGTTCCGGAGTCTGCTTTTAGTGCAGGTAAAAGAGTTTTGAGCGAGATCATCAGCCGACTGAAAGAAGATATTTTAGAAGCGTTAATGTGCATTAAGGATTGGCAGGACGCTCATTTTCGACTACTAGATAAATATGTCGAAATTACAAGTCGTCAAGTAAGTGATATTTGATTTAATTATACTGATAAAACTTTTCTTTTCTTATCGTTACTTTTAATTTCCTTTAAAAATTTGTACATGCTACAATAAATTGGTTGTGTACAATTTTTAACTCCACCTACTAAAAATTTAAGTAACCGGTCCCAAACCCGGATAAAAAAGGAAGATTTATATTTTATCTATTTTAAAAAGAAAAATAAAAAAAATAAAGATTTCATTTTTTTTTCTATTCTCGAACAACGCTGTGTCACTTCGAAAATTATATATAATTTTCGAAGTGAAAGACTACTATATAATCTTCAAAGTGAAGACTTCTGACAATTGAAAAAGTATTTGATTACCCTTTCAATTTTTAGAAGGAATTTATTTCGAAAATTATATGTAAAAGGACGCGAAGCGTTGCTTGAAAAAATAATTTTTAATACTATTTTAAATTTTCTTTAAAAATTTGTACACGAACAAACAAACAAATAACACAAATAATCATGATATAAAAATTAAAATTACTTTTTTTATTTTCCAATTTACCTATTTGTTTCCAAAAAAAAATGACGTTTGCTCGCAAGTCGAGCTTGACCCATGAGCCACGAGCTCGTGGGCCGAGGCGAGCTCGAGCTGTGCTTTCACGGGACGAGCCGGCTGCTCGACCGACCCATTGACACCCCTAGTCATAACTCAAATTTTTTATATCACGTGATCACAAGTTATTAGTGAGATATTATTTATTGGTCAAGAAATATCTAATTTATTGGTCACAATCTCAAATAATTTGTCACATATTTATTAGTCATACAATCAACCAAATAACATGTCACAAACACCCCCATCACATGCCATCCCACCCATAAACTATCGCACTACCACCACAACCACCACCACTTCACTAGCACCGTCAACATCACCACCACCTCATATTCACAACCAACATCACAACCACCACTACACAAACATCGCCATAAAAATCACTGCTAAAAACTCAATGCAGTAGCCAGAGCCACTCCTACCTTACCACCACAGTTACCACCATTACCGTCACCACCAACAAAATCACTGTACAAAAACGAGATCCAAATCAAAGTCACGCACCAACGACGATGCTAGCCATTACATTATTGCCGTTGTGAGTGACTTCGTCATAGCGATCAAGACCACCACATCATACCATTAACACGATCACCTTCAATCGCCATTCCACTACCAATATCCTTCACCTCGTTGGAAGCCACTCTTTCACATATCTATCATGCTACCACCAAGAACCACATGATACATTTAGTACCACAATGACTGTACGCAGCATTGCTATTGTTGGAATTAGTTTAAAAGTAATTAAAAAGTTGGTTAAAACCAAAATGAAAAGGTGTGACTTCATGTTAACTTCGATCAAATATTCGAACTTGATCCGATATTCAAATTATAAAAGAAAATAGAAAACTTATTCTACTCGTCTAGTAGATCGTCGTGGTATATTTGGATTCTTGAAACCAGTTTCGGATGAATGAGAAATTGCGATCCAAAGTTGGAATAATGAAGTGTTGCAACTTTTCGAAATGATGCAGGTTTGAAATGAAGTGTTGTATTTTTTCATGAAAAATGCTGAATTTGGAGCGTGTCCCTTCACCCACAATCCTTCATCTTCTATATATAGGATCCCTTGGACGTGTATTTGTCATTCCAATTCATTCTATAATTCCATATTATTCATTGCATGTCATGTTACATAAAGTACTTTGTAGAAGTGATTATGTCATACATTAAAGTCATATTTATGGTCGAGATGGAATTCCATTCGAGTTCGTTGGTCAAAGTCATTTGGAGTGCTCATGTGGCTCAACGTGGTCGTTGTATTTTGAGAGATGATTGCCAAAAACCCGTTAGCAACGTTGCGGAGCAAATTTATTTTAAGGACAAAATGTCAAACACTTGTCTTAGCCAAAAATCCATCACTTGCATTTTT